CGCTGCAATTGAACAAGAATGAATCAGTTTAGTACTGTGTAAATAAAAACTAAATCTGAAAGATAAACACAACAACGTTCAAGCACTTACCTTACGGATTGTCGCGCTGTCGTCGTGTTCCAAATGATCCGCAATCTGTCCTGTATATTTATCCTCGCTCGTCTGGCCATCATAAGAACAATTACAGCCATGGACTCAGGTTTTTCTCCAACTGGCCTTGTGTCAAACATGAATGATCTGGGTCGTACACATATATAGTCGAGTCAGCAAAAAGGATCTCCAGCGTAACATAGTGTTTATTGATGCACGCTGGAATGTACATATGTGTACAACCCTCCCATGATTTTCCCCCGACACTCGGTGACAGTCCTATCACCCACTCGAGCATATATTCTGGCACCGTGTACTCGTTACCCCTAAGTGCGAGCGACTGATACTCTATGGTAACAGCACCCAGGAACTCGATGTTTAATATGACTCGACCATGGACATCAAATGATTTTGAATGTCTTTGAGCTCGATCTCGCAGCAAGTCCATGGCTAAGTCGATGTGCTGCAGCAGGAAACACCAAAAAAGTATGAGTTATTCATTTAATAAACACAAAGTCACATATACATAAAAAACACGAAATGAATATTTCACTTACATCGTCAGCGAGCCAAGCTCCTGCAGTGGTGATATCGTGGAACCACTTGTAAGGGTCCGAGACCGTCCTTTGTCCTATCGTGCGGCTAACTCTGTAAAAAAGAGGGAAATATTAAAATAAGCGTAGACGAGTTAGAGTACAGTGCTTTATTAAAATCATACAATACTTACCCGGAGATAATTCTCCTCCACTCTGTCTCGAACGCTTTCCACTTGGCATTGTGTCCACCTCTCTGAATAAGTTCGGGTACGTCCCATCGATGAACGTCCTCCTCTTAGCCTCAGCCGTGAAGGGGGAAACAACATACTGTGACGGCACTCTCAACCTCTTGCCGACCACCTGCTCCGTCTCATCAACAGCATATCTCTTACCCTCAATCACGTTGGGCGTCCTCTCGACCTCCGGGGCCACCTCCTCCGTCTCCTCCATCGGGGCCTCCCCCTCCGTCGCCACCTCCTCCGCCCCTCCCGTTGGGGCCACCCCCTCCGTCGCCACCTCCTCCGCCCCTCCCGTCGGGGCCACCCCCTCCGTAGTCCCCTCTCCCATCCCCATCGGGGCCACCCCCTCCATAGACAACCACAATGACTCCAATGTCTCATCACGCCAAACATGTGGGTGACCCCCCTCTCCATCACCATCTCTGCCACCCTCTCGATCATGATCTCCGCCATCCCCTCTGTCCCCCCATCGTCTGCCAGCTAAATCTCCTCTAAGCGCCGCTACTGTATCATGAAGGTCGACAACGGAAGACTGTAGTATTCCAACATCATGGAATAGATCGTCAACCCTCCCCGTCAACTCTCGTCCTATATCGTCGACCCTTCCTGTCATATAGTCAACCCTCCCTGCCAGATCGTCGACCCTCCCTGTCAACTCTCGTCCCAGATCATCGACCCTCTCCGTCAAATCTCGTTGTAGCGCGCCGACCTCCTCCGCTATAAATCCAGTCAAACGGGCATACAAATCATCACTGTGCCCCGGAGACACATGGGGGAGGTGTCTGGACGAAGGTGATGCCAATGGCGGCGGTGATGGCCCCGGCGGAGGTGATACCACTAGCGGCGGTGATGCCCTCGACGGAGGTGATGCCAATGGCGGGGACGATACTCTCGACGGAGATGATACCAATGGTGGCGGCGATGCCCTCGGCGGAAGTGATCGTCGATCAGCTGGACCGCCCTCCTACATAAATAAAATGAAAAATTATTCAATAAATTTATATGTCGATCATATTCAATAAATTATATTTCATTCACATACCCAATCTCTGTCCAAGCTCGGATCAGGCATCTCCTCATTTGGGGTGTGCAGAACGCCTAAATCCCGCACAAGACCCCGAGCCTCCTCTTCCATCGATGGCATCAACTCAGGTATGACTTCAAGCTGACATATTGACATTTCAACTATTTAATGATCATGTAAACAAAATTTTAAACTACGTATAATATAAATCACAAATGCATAATACTTACCTGAGGATCGTCGAGGAGGGCCGATAACTGCTTCCCAGTAGGACATCCCTCCGCTCACGATGATCTCCAATGATGCATCTGAGGGCAGCGTGTCTCCCCTCGCTGCGCAAAGTGGGCCCCCAGTACAGGAACTGTCTCATACACCCAAATCTGTAACACATACACTTATTAAGTATTAATGTAATACACTAAAACTTTAACTTTGATTATATTAAACACTTACATGCACCGCTAACAGCAATCCATATGTATCGTATTTACACATCGACCCCCTGATCCTCGAGTGCGATCTGGTGAACACATGTACGGTGTCTTCGTAGCATCTTCGGCCCCACGAATAGTTGTTGAACGCATCGATGTCATCAACAACTTGCAAATGAAAAATGTCGATGGCAGTCTTCTTGTGATGACACCTCATCACACTCGCGAGGATGTAGACCAGCCTAAGCTTCAATCTATCTAGCATATGGTCGCATCCCCTGATCGCGACCATCAAGTCGGGTAGAAGCACCGACCCATGTCCGTGGAAGTACGTCTCATACAGCCTACTGCTTCTCTCCATGGCTGCATCGTCGCCCGTAATCCTCAATCCAGTGATCAATGTAAACTCAAACATCGAGAAACTGACGACCTTGCCCCCGAGGTCGAACTGGAGGGAATCGCCGTCGACTGGCCTCAGAAGCCGACATAGAAGTGCATCAATGATTTGTCCTGAGTACTGCACCTCTCGCAACTGGTACAGTGGCCACAAGAAGGACTGTCGTAGCATATCTCCGTGCTGATCATCGAGCAGCTCCAACACAGCAGTAAAACTCTCAAAACTACTGTTCCAAGTAGCTTTCCCCGACATCCGTCTCAACTCTGCATCTAAATGATACTCCATCTTGCAAAAATTCAAATGTTATAGCATTGAACAAGAAATAACAAAAGAAAGCATAATCTCACAAAATCAAGAGAACCGAACTCTAACTACCATACAATCACAAATATTACATTTAAAAAATATATTTACAAAAAACAACAAATCAAATTAAATGTATTGTCAAAAAATTTAAAGAATATAAATATTGTTTAAATAAATTGAAAAAAATCAAAGATTTTCATAAAAGAACAATAAAAGGAACAAAACAAATTGTTAATTTCGAACAATATTATGTATTCAATTATTAAATTATATAAAAAAGGAAATTATAAAAATTAAATAATTAAATAAAATAATTATTATTTGAAAAATATTTTTACAAACAAAAAATTTCAAATTAAATACATTTTCGAAAAATGTAAAGACTATTTATATTATTTAAATAAATTTGAAAAAATAAATTAAAGATTATTTCAAAAAAAGGAACAACACAAAATTGTTAATTTTAGAATATTTCAATTATTAAATTATATAAAAGACAAATATAAAAATTAAATAAATAATTACTTTACCTTTTTTTAAAATGTAAAGACTATTCATATTATTTAAATAAATTTGAAAAAATAAATTAAAGATTATTTCATAAAAAAAAAAGAATCAACATTGTTAATTTTAGAATATTTCAATTATTAAATTATATAAAAGACAAATATAAAAATTAAATAAATAATTACTTTACCTTTTTTTAAAATGTAAAGACTATTCATATTATTTAAATAAATTTGAAAAAATAAATTAAAGATAATTTCATAAAAAAAAAATAGAATCAACATTGTTAATTTTACAATATTTCAATTATTAAATTATATAAAAGACAAATATAAAAATCAAATAAATTTGAAATAAAAAATTATAGATAATTTCATTAAAAAATTTTGAAAAAATAAATTAAAGATAATTTCATAAAAAAAATAATCAACATTATTAATTTTACAATATTTCAATTATTATATTATATTGACAAATGATAAAAAAATTAAATAAATAAAATAACATAATTACTATTTAATCAAATAAAAAATTTAATTAATTACAAAAATTATAAAAAATTTAAAATTAAATATTTAGTTTGGGCGGTTCGTTAACCGGCCCAGACTACCCAAACTGTTAACAGTCGGTTTATCGACTGTTAACACAGTCGGCGGCCAGAAACCGCCATTCCCGACCACTGAGTTTTAAAAAAAGCCAAAAATTCACATTTTTCACACTCCAGCATGCCCACAATCTAACTACTCATGCTCATGGATCTAATTAAACCAAAATTACTAAGGAAAGTGCTATACCATGAACCGAATGAACTGGAGAAAAGTGATGAAAACTAACTGGTTATTTTATTTTCGGTGTAGATGATGGTCGTTGATTGTGACGTTGGTGTAACTCCGGTGGTCAGTCGGTCGAATTTCTGCACTGGTCGGTGAGAGATTTTCAAATGAAAGGTACAATGGTCTTTTACTATGAAGTTTTTTTTTTAACTTAATTTTTTTTTTAATTCATTTAATGGGTCAAAGGCCAATGTCAAATTTTGCTAAAGTGGAAGAGCCATTTTCGTGTATTTCCTCCACTAAAGTAAATCTTGTATCATGACGGGTCAAGTGTGGTCCTTCATGATCCAATTTACGCTTCTAAACCAGCAAAGATATTGGATTTCATACCTTATTGTTATCCATTTATAAAATCCGTACATGCATCATAAAAAAGATTAAATTCGACCTGCTTGAGGAGGCGTGTTGCAAACACAATTTTAAATAAATAAATTCATCCCCTCTCAAACAAGTCTATGCAAATCACACGATAAGTAATTAGCAATCGAGACGCAAATAATATTAGGTAAAAAAGCAAGTGGGGAGAAAATAATTTTTCAACCGACGCAATACAGCGCTAATGAGTTAATTAAGGAATTATCTGAAAATTCCTCCATCTAATTATCCATAATAATAATAATTAGCATCCCATTACTCCCACAACAAAAAAAATCAAGTGGCTGTTAAATTGGAATAGAACGGAATTTCTGTCGCCGGCAGCCATTGATTTCCCAGTATGAAATTACCAACAGTAAACTGACTCGCTTCAGTTGAACTGTTAATAACTCGGTAACCCGCCCAACGCACTCTCGCAGTCGTATTTGATCCGGGGCCTCTATTCCTATACTCTCCATAATAAAGCGTATCCAGTGCAAAAGTCCCATCCCATTCCAACCAACCCGCCGGTTCCACCAAATCCCCTATATGTGACAGAAGATATACAGTCCTGGAATACTGTTTCCACGGCCGGCCGAGATAGGTTCGGAATGAGGACTGGACAGGAATCAAATCGGAGGCGGCGGCCACTTTGCAATTCAGAATTGATATCCCTGTGTTTTGGTTCGAATCGTCCCTTCCTTGGGCGGTGTATGTGTTCTTCTGTTTGCCGTTAGGTTTTCGCGCGTATAGATTGCTGTTTTGGATAACGACGGCAGCGTTGCCGAAGATGTAGTCGACTGTGCCGTAAATGTCGCACTCACGGTAGAATTGCCGGAAGGAATGGACGTAGAGAGTATCTTGATATCCGACGAAGCTGCATTGGTAGAAGGCGGAGAACTCTGCACTGCTTCTTAGAGCCACTGCTTGGTGTTTGCCCGGCCCGGCGTAGTTCTCAAATGTGATGCCTTTGGCGATGAATCCACTTCCCACCACCGCTGCAAGTTCAAAGGACATGCAGAAACACTAAAAGGTCGTCTAATAATGTCTACCTAACATGCAGAATCAGTAAAAGAGAGTCCAGAACTCACCAACTGTGGAAGATCGGAAAGTAGTCCAGCCATCGGCAACATTCCGGTTCCCTTTTATAAGTGTCTTTCCAATTCCATCTCCTACAAACATGATCATGCTCTTTCTCCTTTCTACTTCAACGTACTCGTAGTACGTTCCGCCCCGAATGTGAATCACAAACCTCTTGTCTCTATTATTCGGCGCTGCACTTAAGGCCTCATTTATCGTCGTAAAATTCCCACTACCATCTTTCGCCACCACCAAATCGAACTGTGTTTGATTCACCGAAGCCCGTAAAAGTGCCCGGTCCTTCCTCTTCAACCAAACTGGGAACCCATTTTTCATCGACCCGTATCCATCAAACAGTTCTGTATTTCTCGAACCCTTCTTTTCCATCTTGATTTTCTTGAGCAAGGCGAGTGAATTACTCAAATGCATGGAGATTTTCTTCAGCCGGCCTTGAATGTACCGGCGAGTATTGTTTTTACTATAAGCAAACCCGTCAAGGCAAGTGTATTGATTCGTCATTGCAGCGCTAAGAAGAGTTTGTATATTTGTATAATGTTTTTCTTCAGAAGAGTTTTCTGCTAGATTGGAAAGTGTAGTTTTTAGCTCAGTCACCGTGTCGGAAAATAGCTCGAGACAATCGTCGAGAGCTCTCCTATCAATGGAATGGTGTTTCTTGAGTTTCCGGCGGAGGTCAGTGGCGTTGGAAGCGCAAACCAGGACCTCCGTCCTGGTGACATTCACAAGGGCAGAGATAACTTCTGGGATAGACTTTTCTTGAAGATCTGGGAATGTAGAGAGTGTAGAGACACATAATTCTGGGTACAATGTGCCTTGACAATGTGTATTCGCTACTTGAATGTGCTTGTGAATGTGTATTGATCTTGAATTAATGTGTTGATTGATTGGGGTGTGCATGTGGGAAATTAGAAGGAAAAGTAGGAACAGAACAAGAGATAAACATGACAAGGAAATGAGCTTGGATTTTGGTCTGAAAATATCGTCCATTTTGGAGTGTTCAAATTTGTGAGGGCTAATGGGGTTGGATTGTTGGGATATTTAAATGAACTGGGTGGGAGTGAATTTTGATCTTATTACAAAATCTATTTGTAAATTTTATTACAAGAGAATGGGACTGGTCAGTATTTATTGGTTCTTACTCGTGGAAGCCTGGATTTTGAATAAATACATATTGTCACATTCATGAACTGGGTTGGTGGTGCTTGGATTTTAATTTTTGTAACAAAAAAAATAAAGATTTGGTTAATTTTTTTAAAATTGAAAATCAACGAGTATTTGAGTATGTGTCGTGAAAAGTTTTGTAATTCTTGTGAAACATAAAGTGACAATGTTTATCCATTGAAAATGTAAGAGAAAGGTATCGGTGCACGATCGAATTACTTAAAGATTTAAGTTTCTTTTGCCAGAGAATTGATATCTTTGTTGACTGATACTCACATGGGAGTGGGGCCATATGAATAAAAAAAAGGCCAAAAAACTCCTCTCCTCCACCCTCCATGACAGTATAGCAGAATTGTTACATAAATAGGCAATCTTTTATCTAATAAATGAACTTGATTGAATTCTGATGTGTTTTTTTTTTAATTTTCCTTACCTTATTGAGCATTGACAGAATATTTGTGGTACATGGACAAGGGCTAGGTTAGGTAGAGGAATTTTGAAGCTATAGCGACCGTTTCTATAGTAAGTAACTAGTGGTATCTTAAAATTTAGGGAGGCTCCACTTTGAGTTCTCTTTTTCGCTTTAACCATCTCACACGGCTCTTATGCAGTAGAATTTTGTTGAATTCTATCAGTCTTAAATCTCTTTCTTTTCTTTTTTTTATCGCTAAATGTAAAATTATATTAATCAAAAACTTCATATATAAGTACACCAAACATTCCTAGGCAAACAACAATCAAGAAACATATGCTAATACTCCGGACATATCCAAGGCTAACAAAATGAGAAGATGTACAGACAATACGATCTATGAACCCAATGCTAAAGTCTCAAAGTGAATCAAAACGTACGGATACAAATAAAACATATCTTTGTATGTGTGTTTTGATTTGTCTTACAATGCTATCCAAGTGAGTCTAATATCATCAAAACCCCTTATATTCCTCACCATCCATATGTGGTATTAGGTGGAAGCAAATGCAATTTTCTTAGTCTTACTTTGCCAAGAAGTACATCAAACCTCCTTCTTGATCCATTTCAAAGCACTAGATATTGTGGTCATCAATCTTCTAATCCTCAACCAATCTTTAATGCTCGCCCACGTAGGCGTGGATGAAGATAAAGAGCACTGAAAGAAATAAATGCTTTCCTGTTTCCATACGTGACTCACAAAAAACACAATTCCTGTAAAATATGGCAGCCTATCTTCCGTGAGTAGTTTCCCCTGGGCACTTAGCCATAGAATAAAGGAATGTTTTGTTAAAAGTTTTGGGCTGCCTCGCTAAATCTTGTTTGTTGGGCCATTTTATGCTGGGCCAATTTTGCAACCGGGTTGCTGATTAATTAGATGAAAACACGTTTTTTATACAACACGACTTTAGCCTCTTTTCTGGGATGAGAATCAGTTGCACACGTGGCTTCATTCCAGCCCTTGATCTTGACCATTGGTGTGGACAGATATATATATTTGACCTTGGCCCTGTTCATACGGAGAAGTAGTTTTCATTTTCTTTGTTCTCCGTCTCTTCACTTTTCTGAGTGAAAAGTTAGGGTTTGTTCTGTAATCTAAAATTAATCTTTGTGATTGATAGTTGATGTTCTTAGTGGTAATCCCTGATTGCTTAGTGCGAGATATAGAAAGATCAATTGAGTGAGGATTTTTCAACAAAAAGAGGCGAGAGAAAAATCGAAGAAATCAAACATTTCTTCGTACATTTGTAAACTGATTCTTGGTTGATGTTAGTGGATCTTTGAGCTAAATCCCTTAGTGGATGCTCAACGGGTGACTAGGTCTACGACCGAACATCCGGGCCCTTTCGAGGGCAAAAACATATACTGTGTTCTTGTTCTTTAGATTCTGTAATTTTTTAAATGTTCTTTACTCAAATTAGATCAAACCATAAGGTTTCAAAAATAACAGTGGTATCAGAGCATTTTTTTGAAACCGTGTGTTTTTGATTTCATTTTTTTGTAAAATTCCTTTTTTCAAGAAACCCTAGTTCTTGGCATATATAAAATTTTTTTTAAAAGAACTTCAGATCTGTAAATTCTTCTTTAAAGATTAAGATCCGATATTTACAAAGGTATATACTATGGAATAAACCTTCGATTCAACTATAGGTTGGATCTACTATTGGTTCTTGATAGTTTCTGTTGGATCTGTTGTTTATTAAAGGAGATCCGTTCACTGTTACCGTTTTTCTGAAATTTCTGAGTTGACTCAGAACTGAGTTTTGTCTGAGTGGTTTGACTCGAACTGTGTTTGGCGAGTTGAGTTGACTCGCTCCGATTTGGCTGAGTTCACACCGAGTTTTAGTAACTCACTGGTTCCTTCCACTCATTCTCAAAGACGAACTACTCTCCTGGTATCTTGATGATGTCTCTCTACTGAAACTTTAAAGTTTCAGTGTATGGTATATTTCTGAACCCTCTTATCGATTTACATTTGGTTCTTGTTAATCTTGGAACTGGTCATTAAGGTAAGTGATCCTCCACGACTTACCTTTGTGCAAGATCTCTCTGAAGGTCTGGGAATCTGAGGGAGCAGTGGGTTTGAAAGGGTCACCACTCCTTAGACCTCTTTCAAACTAATATTAGACTATTCTGAAAATTGTATCATTAAAGCAGAATATCTGTATTCTCGTGTTTAGTTCAGAAATTCATTTACCTGTAAATCACATTATCTACCTGAATCATCCACACACTATACTGCATATTATCTTTGCATGCTATTATGCTGTAGTTGCTACTATGTCCACTTCATATAAGTTAGATATAGAAACATGGAATGGCACTGGAGACTTTGCTCTCTGGCGCCAGAAAATGAGAGCCCTGTTACTGCAGCAAAGATGTGCTGCAGCCCTTGATGGGACATGGGCTGCTGAAATAAGTGCATATAGGAGGAAAGAACTAGATGATACTGCATGGAGTACCATTTTTCTTCATTTGTCTGATAGTGTGATTAGGAAAGTAGAAGCCACTACTTCTGCAGAAGCCACTACCTCTGCAGAAGCCACTACTTCTGCAGAAGCAAACTCTGCTGAGACCTTGTGGACTAAACTAGGAACACTCTACTAAATCCATGCCCAATAAGTGTTATCTTCTAAGGCAATTCTACAACTTTAGATTTGATCCCTCTTCTGGCCTAGAAGAAAACCTTGATAAATTCACTAAACTGATTCAGGATCTAGACAACTGTGATGAGAAGATCTCTAGTGACCAACAA